GGCCGGCCTGCGGGAAAGACGTCGGAGGGGCCAGCTGGGCGCCGGCGTTCAGCGCTTGGTCAGAGTCCGCTCTGCTGTCTGTCCGCTTCCTGCTGGCCAGCTGAACTCTCAGACGGCTTCCCAGAGGCCGCGAGATGGGGCAGGGTTCGAGGAAAGAGTCGGGGAGCTCCCTGAGGCCACAGAAGTCCTGGAATGGACTTAGGTGGGCTTGGCTCGGCTCTGTTGTCTGGGAGCCAGGCCGAGCGGCAGGCCCAGGTCATGGGACCCAGGGCATGAGAATATGGGGGGGGGGTCCCCGGAAATGCCAGGGTGAGAGCGCGCCCAGCCCGGCCTGTCTCCAGCTCTTGCCCTGCGTCCCCAGGTGCCCCTGGGCGTCCCTCAGCCACCGGCAGCGCCGCTTCTCCTTCCTCGGGGGCTCCGTCCTGGGCAGGTCGGTGGCCAGCGTCCTGGGGGAGCTGCTGCGCGAGGAGCTGGCCCTGCGGTGGGAGCAGCTGGTCCTGGACGACACCTTCACGGGGGGCGCCCTGGCCTGGGTGCCCGGAAGGTCGCCCCGAGCCGGGCAGCTGGTCTACCCTGCCGGGGGCGCCCTGGACAGCCTGCGTATCCTTTCTGCCCTGGCAGTGGAGTGTGTGTGCGCGCGCATGCGTGTGTGTGAGTGTGGCGTCGGGGCTGGGTTAGGGCCTGACCGGAGCGTGTGCACTGGCCCTTAGCAAGTGCCCAGATTTCCAAGAGATCAGCCTGACCTCACGTGGCCGGCCTCGCGTCCTCGGAGCCCCTGGACGCATCCAGCTCCGGGGGCCTGTCCGGCAGGTGGTGACCTGCACCATCCAGGGAGAACGTAAGGCCCTTAAGCGCCTCTGTGCCTCGCTCACTCGCCCGCTGCCTGACCCCTGGCCCCTGACCTCTGGCCTTTCCTCCCCTCAGCCCTGCTGGCTGTGCGCTCTGACTACCACTGCGCCGTGTGGAAGATGGGGAAGCAGGGGCTGCCCGCCCCCCTGCAGGTGCTGCAGGTCCGGGAGGGTGCCACAGGGATCAGTCTCAGGTGAGGGCTGAGTGCGGCTGGGCAGGGCCGGGCCGGCGGAAGGGGCAGGCGGCCTGACGTGCGTCTCGTGGTGTCCCCTAGCCCGCACCTGCCAGGGGAGCTGGCAGTCAGCAGCCGATCTGGAGCCGTCTGTCTGTGGACCCCCCAGGATGGGTAACGCCCCCTCCCCTGAAGCCCTCCACGCCCTGGGCAGCAGGTCCTCGTCGTGGTGACCCTCACCCACCACGTGCCCGTCTCCCGAAGGCTGCAGCAGGTCTATAAGGACCCTGAGACCCTTGTGTTCCGCGACCCTTCTCCCTGGCGCTGGGTGGACTTCACTGCGCACCCTCGGGTGCTGACTGTGGGTGACCGCACTGGAGTGAAGCTGGTGGACACCCAGGTATGGGGCCCGTGCCAGCGACCCCTGGCTGCAGGAGGGCAGTGGTGCCGGTGGGTGCAGGGGCGAGGCTGACCCCATGTCTCTCCCAGGGCCCACCCGGCTGTGGCCTGCTGCTGTTCCGTGGGGGCGCAGAGGCCTCCTGCCAGAAGGGGGAACGTGTCCTGCTCGCTCAGTACCTGGGGCAGCCCAGCCCCGACGCTCTGCCCCCTACGCTGCACCTCATCTGTACCCAGGTGAGTGCCCCCCAGCCCCACTCCACCCCCTGCTCCGTCTCAGTCGCCCGGGCCTGAGCACAGATGCACAGAACGCTGAGGGATGGGTGTGGCCTAAACACAGCCCGTGCTTGCAGACCGAGGGAGGGCAGCCGAGGGCCCCAGGCGGCAGTGGAGAGGCGTGGGGGGGCAGCCGAGCGCCCTGTGCTCTGCCCTCTGCCCTGCCTTCTCCCCGCCTGTCACCACAGCAAAGCCCGGATCAGGGCCCAGAGTGGGTGGGGACGCCCATGGGAAAGGCAGGTGGGTTTCTGTGTGCTGAGACCCCCGTAGCTCCTCCCGGGCCCCCTCTCCCCAGCTGCCTGGGCTGTGGACCAGGCTGGGCATCCCCACCTCAGCCACACCCCTCCGCCCGCCTCTTTCTCGCCCCCAGTTCTCGCTGTACCTGGTGGACGAGCGCTTCCCCCTGGTGCCCATGCTGAAGTGGGACCACGGCTTCCCCTCCCCAACCATGCTCGTTTTGCTGCTGCTCCCACCCCCAGACCCGGCTATCCACAGCCAGTGATGTTGCAGAGCTATTCGTCTTAAGCTGAAAACTAAATCTCAAGTTAAAAGTGAACGTACCTAGAAGATAAGGTGTAGAGTAGCGACATGGACAGTAATTCATCAGATAATAGTCTGCATTCCATGATCTAATAGGAATATCTAGCCCACCATTTCATCTAC